GTGGACAAAACAGCTACAGAAGTTTCAGGTATGCCACAGCAATGACACCCATCTCCTCACCTGGTAACTGGACTCATTTGTCAAAACTCAGCTCAGGAATCACCTCCTTCCAGTCTCACCTCCTCGTAAAGGCCAGGGAGGCTGACTCTTCCTGATGACCCACAGGCCCTACATCTGCACATCTGGCGTGCCATGACTTTATTTCCTACTTGTTTGCCTGCCTGCCTGCCCTTTCCAATAAACTTCACAGTTCTTTCAGAGAAGACTCTGTGTCACCTCTCTGTATATGCCTCAAGCCAACATTGCCTGGCACTCAAACATGTGCTGAAAGATGCATTTCCTAGGACATTCAGTCCAGCATGCTTTGTATACCAAAGGACTACAAATAACCTCCTAAGTTTCCCTCGATAGGAGACTGATTAACAGTTCTCAGAATGTGGTCCAAGGACCCTGAGGGTCCATGAGACCTCAGGGCTATGTAAATTCCCCTCTTCTAACAATATATCTATGTGAAGTCACATATTCTTCAAATACTTTCATCAAAACACATGGCACCACAGATGCTCTGTCACGGAACACCTTATTCAAGTCACAAATACTGCTCTTCAAATATGTATAGAAACTCTCAGACAGAAACCAAAAAAACCTTCAGTATCTTTGGACTGGAGAGAAGACACAAAACCTAGTTGCTTGAGCTAGGCTACATCCCGAGTCTCACCAACTGGGGGTGGCGTGAAGATGAGTAAGGAATAAACCACACTCTAGGAATAATGTAATTACCCTTGGGGATTAGCAGGGGGCATGGTGGTTGAGGCAATGGACTTTTTACAAGGCTGACCACGTTCGAGTCCTGGACCTGGTGGCTTGCTTTCTCATTCTCCCTCTCTGGGTCTCTGTCTCTTTCTGGTCAAATTGAAGAAAACTAATAAATTAAAATTAAAATACATAATTCTTTAAAAAAAAATCACGGAATAACCCAAGGCCCTGTTTGGTCTACAAAAAGTAACTATATATTTTCTTTTTACCTCCAGAGACAGACAGAGAAAGAGAGAGAGAGAAATCATACCAACAACCCTCTCCCTCCTCCTCCCTCTCTCCTATCCCCTCTCTCACCAACAGGGTGTGAATATGGTGCAATTATTTCTCCTTTTCTCTATCCTTTGGGTGCACGTGCACATGCAGGTAAGTCTAGTGTGTTTTTCAAGCCACAGGGACCAGGACTTGAACTACTGTCAGCTAAGGGAGATCGAGCTCCCTTAACCAGTAGGCTACTGGACTGGCCCAAGGTTAAATATTTAGAGATGTTTTAGAAACACCATTGAACTCTGGCTCTCCAGTCTTTATAACACAACCCCTCTGTACTCCAATTCTCAGAAGTGTTCACTCTTACATAAGACACACATTTATACTTAATGAGCACAGAAAACACCACCCTGAGCCCTCTGAACTAGGTCATCTTTTCAGAGAAGACAAGCTCAACCTCTGGTCTAATTTAAAATGCTAGTCCCCTCTGCAAAATCCCAACATAAGCGGGAGCAGCAAATATTAATTAAGAACAGAAACAGGTTTGAACATCTTTTCTCTCAATCAAGTCCCAAATGCTTCTAAATAGAAACATGCCAAGTTTTGTTCACTCGAGATACAAGATCCAGTAGACAACAATGGGATTATTTTTTTCAGTACTATCTGTTCAAGGCTTAAGACAGGATTCTAATATTCTTCAGCTATAACCCAACAAAAGAAATCATCACTACACATCAGAATTTTGAATGGGACTCTCTCCAAGTGTGTATTTGTACTCATACGTGCACACACATACGGAGAGAAAAGCTAACATTCCTCTGGACAGAGTGGGGGCCCAGGTCCTGGCAAACTAAAAATACTCTCCTTCTATTTACGCATCCTGTGTGCTAAAGAAAATGAGAGCCAAAGATCTGGGGGTGAGTCTTCAAATAAGGTATTTGATAAGCCTCAACCTGCACTGCTCCAGGCAGCCTAGAAAAGGGCCAGTGGGTGACAGCTATCATGAAGTTCATCTCAGATTCCTATTAAGTATAAACCTATACCAAAACATCAGAGCTACACAGAATGGACTCTACTGCTGAAGGCTGTTTGACTTCTGGGAAAGATGCATTTGGAATTCATGGCCTGTGCCTTCCACACACCTGATGAACTCCTTTTACACCTTAGGTCACTTGTCAGATCCTTGCCCTCTTAAGTTTTCAAAGGAGGAATTGGAACATGGTGTAGGGAGAAGAGAAGGCAAAGCGTAGACTACTGACACATATAAGACACTCAGAAAATATCTACTGGGAGCCAGTGTTGGATTCCCACATGGCCAACTGTGGTTCGAATCCCTGGCCCAGCAGTTTGAAAAATCATGCCGGGAGCACGTGCAAGCATACTCAGAATCCCGAGAGGAGACTAGAAAAGGGATTTGGCATGGTCATCCTCTCTGGAGGGTGAATTCTCACTTCCTCTCTCTCTGTCTCTCTCCAGTAAGCATATAGGAAATATGGCAAAAATTAAAAAATAAAAACTAGACAAACATAACACTGTATCATAACCAGCAGCAAGAGTCAAGATATGTAGATATATACAGAGGAAAGAGGAGAACTCTGACTCCAGGGCAGGTGAGGAAGCCATGATGTGGACTGGTCCTCTCCTGAGCTTTTCACGAGGAGGGGCTGCAAGAAGGAAAAAGCCGTGCAGAGGAGTGTGCCCAAATCCAGGCCGGAACAGATGGCCTGAGCTACTTCCAATTCACAATCCTACAAAGGCTCTGTTTCCTGGGGTTTTGTTGTGTTCCATGGTCTTAAAGCCTGCTATTATAAACGGGTACAGACACAGAAGGGTAGTTGTGCTTCTCTACCAGGAAATCAGCTGAAAGCAAACAGCAGGTAACAGAAAAATAAATACTGAAGAATGTGTCCCTATTTATCAGACAGTGAGCCTGTAAGATTCTTACTTAGACCTTGTGAGAGAGAAAAATAATCTGAGAATATTCCCCAAGTCCACTAGAAACAAGGCAGTTTGAAAACAAAGGGTTGTCCTTTATTTTTCTTCTTCCTTCCCCAATAATTTTTAAAAATTTATTCAAGCAAGAATTACTTGATCCTTAACAGAAAAATGAAAATCTGAACATTTCATTGTTTAGAAGTGAACAGTCACTATTTCAGAGAGGAACAACGGGGGGGGGGGGGGGGGG